GCGCACAAATTCTTCACGGTGTTTTGGGGGGGGGGGGGGGGGGGTGTAGAGAAATGTCACAAGCGACATTTCATGAAGTTCAGTCAGCATAGTGCAACCACATTTTGTCAGCGCACACCACTGTGAGGCCATTGAAACAAGGCAAATTGCCTCGTCTGTGCGTTGGGGTTGCGCTGGAAACTGCGGCCAATGCAGCTCCACGCTTCTGATGTGAACATAGCATTGTAGATTTTCCACCAGGAACTAGTGCTATCTGTGTAGTCATTACTGGACGCAGGGCAAAAACATGGCATCTGTGACAGAACTGATCTGTTGGTGGACGCAGGAGTCAGTCCTCACTCAATGGACATAAACCTTTAAAGCTTACTGAGCTCAAATATCACTTGGTACTGGCGGCTTGCTTCCAGAAGAAATATTTCTGCTGAATGATCCTCATTCTTCTTTAGGCACTGGGAGGATTGCTTATACAATGTAACACTGATCATTAAAGTAGCCCCTAGGCAAGAGCAATGTGAATGCACATCTAAAGGGATAGCAGGGATGCCTTCCTACTAATAATATCTATACTGCACTGGGATGGGGAGATGGTCCTTGCTTCACCTTCACCCAATCGGGCGTCTAGAAAAATATAAATCTCCTCCCTCTCAGCCAATCATATAAGGCGAGTACTCCCAAGGGAAGGCCGTTAATAAAGGGCAGGAACAGATGTGGGCGTTGAGAGCATCCCCAGACAAAGCAGCATCTCCTATATAACTTGTAACATTCTGCTGACGGCAAATCTGTGTCACAGTTGTGTCCCTGCCATCATTAGAGGGTGACAATCTTTCCGAGGACATTGCTCCGACCTGCACAGCGTGCTAAAACACATTGCCCTTTCTTCTCATATATTGACTGCCAACATTAAACCCCTTTAGAAATCTTGTGCATATGTCATTTTTAAGTCAATTAATTATTGCCTACGGGAATACGTCACCCAAGGCAAGGTAGCTGCTTTGCCCTCCGCCATTTTCACTTGACATTAACGAGGATGGCACAGGAAAGCTGCTCTATTGTCATTGCCTGTACTGGCTGGGCTTGCCCCATCAGACACCAGCTGTCTATAAGGGCATTCTCCTTGAGTTCAAAGCCGCCAATTACTGCAGGAGCATGGAGGTTATATCTGGCCCCCTGGACAATCATCTGGGCCTAGGCCCCGTGCACATACATGGGAGTTACATTAGCTCGGCCTGGCCAATCAAGAACCTGAAGACGCTGAACCCAGAAGACTTTGGGTCACAAGAGTATATTAGTAAATGTATTCCTGTCACCCAAAGGAGAAGTAATGTAAAAAAACAGGTCTTACAGGAATTTATATAGTGCTAACAATTTACACAGCTCTTTACTTCCTGCACATTCTCAGCAGTCCCTGCCCTCATGTAGCTTAAAATCAAAGTTCTCTATTGCAAACACATACAGGGCCAATTAACCTTCCGGCATGTCTTCAGAGTGTGGGAGAAGGGCAGAGTACCTGGTGGAAACACCCACACAAGCACAGGGAGAACATGCAAACTCCTTGCAGATAGCACCCTGACTGGGATTTGAGCCGTAGACCACCAGTGCTGCACAGCAGAAGTGCTAACCACTACACCACTGTGCTTATTACATACAGGGTGTATCTAAAATGATAACTTTGTCATATAACCAGTATATGTGTGCTTTGCATAAAACAACATGGAGAACACAAAAACTTGTCATGTTTCGTAGTTGCAATTTGCATTAACGATAACAGACATGGTGTTTGTCTGTGAATACGACAAGCTTTTTACCAGCTTCAAAGGCAGATGCAAAGTATGTCAGCGTGAATCAGACCTTTCATTTTCTTGAAGTTGAAGCACAATTTGCATCCACTATCATACATGTTCTCTGAGTTATCTGCATGCCTGCCTTTTATAGGTGGTTTCATATATCCGGAAGTATTTACACCTCCATCCTTTTGATCTTGTTTCATCATCTTAAACGATATGTAAAGGTGCCCATACACTGTACGATTATCGTACGAGAATATCGTACAATAATCGCAAAATGTATAGAAGGCGTGCGACCGTTTCTACTGTGCGATCGCACGTCTTCGGTCGAACAAGCAGGCTGGAAAATTCTCGGCGGGTTAGTGGCGTGCTTGTTCGACAACTGCCGAACGGGCCGGTGTGCGCACGTGCACACTGCCCATTCAGCATTGCAGTCATGGGAAGCAGGCCCCTTAGGGGGGCGGGCTTTCGATGATCGCAGGTACGATCTGCCTGTCCAAGATGGGCAGATCGTACGTTTTTTTAATTACTTGACAACCCTTGCAAGACAAAAGTCTTGCGAGGGTTGTACAGTAGTGATGGGCTCGGGCGTGTTCGCAAGCGCCTCGTGCCGAGCCCGCCAGGAAGCCGGCACCGCGCAGGGCCAATCACAGGCCCTGAGACATGTTCCCGGTCCGCAGCTGCAGAGATACACGCCCGAGCCCATCACTATTGTACAGTGTATGGCCACCTTAAGCATGGAGATTTTTGTCTGCCATTGCAATTTTGTCCAATTTTTGTCTTTCAAGCAGGCTAAAAAACTTTTGTCTAGTTGAACAAAAATTGACGGGTTAGTGGCGTTGTTGTACAACAAAAATCTCAAG